AAATAAGACCATTACTGTTAACATCTGAATTTCTATGATTATCTACATGCTTTCCCTTTTGAAAATTGTAATGCAACAACGTGGGTGAACCTTGTGACATGCTCGCTGCCATCAGCTAGACAAAAGGGGCGAATACTGTATGGTTCTACTTGGGCCGGTGGCGCAGGGGGTTAAGCATCTCACTGTGAAGCAATCCGTAGCCCCTGCCGGCCAGAGAGCAACCCACATGGCGCAGCAGACCTCTCTACTGCTCCTCTCACGCTGCTACTTCAGTCAGTCTGTCTGTTCTGTTCCCCATTCTGTCTCTGGTGAATCTTCTCACCCCTCACATCTCTGGCCTGTACCCCAGCTCTTGTATGCATAAATAAATAAATTTAAAAAACTTGATTCACTGGGTTCTTTGGTAGGTTCTTAGAAACAGCAACATTAAATGAAAGGAGTTTGCAGGTCCTCCATTAACTTCAGCTGGTATTTATTTAAAAATTAATGTTTATAATAACATTCACATGTTATTAGAGAATCTGGTATACCTCAAATAGTCAAAGTCATAGAAAGTAGAATGGTGGTTGAGGGGAAAGTTACTGGTTGAGACACAGTTTTAGTTTGGGAGATGAAAAAGTTCTAGAGATAGGGTGGTAATGATTGCTTAATAGTATGAATGTACAGTATATGACTGAACTGTGCTCTTAAAAATGGTTAAGAGGGCAAATTTTGCGTTATGTATTTTTTTATCACAGTAAAAAAATTTATAGCTAATACTCATTTTTGTTCAATAAACTGTATACAGAAAGGAATTTGATCTCATACTTACCCTCAAGGAGCTGTGTAATCTATTATGTCACTAGTAGTTTGCAAGGAAATAGAGGCTTCAATTGTAAGGACATGGTGGTAGTTCATAAAAATTTTGTGATATAGGAAGAGAATCTGGGAAAGGAGCTTTTCCTATGTATTGTCTTAATCTGCTGGATAGGCTGGAAGATTTAGCAAGAATGTTAGTTTCCCCAAGACACCTCTGCATAGCTTGAGAGAATGTTTTTCCAAAGCACTTAATGGTCTAGGTAGAAATTTTCAGTTTTGTGTTTGAGCCCTCTCATAAATTGGGACTTTGGTTTTTATGTTTTGTGGTTTTTTTTTTTTTTTAAAGATTTATTTAGGGCCTCCCCGGTGGCGCAGCGCTTGAGCGCTGGGTTGTGAAGCTGCCCGCTGCCTCTGCGGCGTCGGTTCGATCCCCGGCTGCTCCCCGCCACCAGGGGAGGTCCCGCATGGCGCGCGCAGACCTCTGCTGCCGCCCGCTGCTCCCCTCAGCAGCGTCCTCTGGTCCTTGCTCTGCTCTGCTCCGCTTTGGTTCTGTGAATTCTCTCACTCTCCCGCGCTTCTGACTGTATACCCAGTGCATGTATAACAAACCAACAAAAAATAAATAAAACATGCCTCTAAAAAAAAAAAAAGTTTTATTTAGGGCCTCCCTGGTGGTACAGCGGTTGAGCGCTGGGTTGCGAAGCTGCCCGCGGCCTCTGCGGCGCCGGTTCGATCCCCGGCCTCCCCGGCCACCGGAGGAGGGTCCCACATGGCGCTCAGACTCTCTCCTGCCGCCCGCTGCTGCCCTCAGCAGTGTACTTCGGTCCTTCTGCCTGCTCTGCTCCCCACTCTGGCTCTGGTGAATTCTTTCACCCTCCCGCGCTTCTGACTGTACCCAGTGCTTGTGTAAACAAACAAACAACAAACAAACAAATAAATAAATAAAACATGCCTCTATAAAAAAAATTAATAAAATTAAAAAATAAAGATTTATTTATTTATACAAGTACTGGGTATAGTCAAAGCGCAGGAGGGTGAGAGAATTTACCAGAGCCAGAGCGGGGAGCAGAGCAGGCAGACTGATGAACACATTGCTGAGGGAGCAGCGGTTGCAGCAGGAGAGGTCCATCGCGCCATGTGGGACCCTCGCCGGTGGCTGGGGATCAAACCGGCGCTGCAGAGACTGTGGGCAGCTTCGCAGCCCAGTGTTCAACCGCTGTGCCACCAGGGGAGGCCCTAAATTGGGACTTTGGGGCACAGAATAATAGTGTTATTTGGTGGATGTTCATTCAATCTGCAATCATATGCAGACTTTGGTTTGTTACCAGAATGTGTAAGAAGTGTTTTACATTGCCAGACTGCCAAAAAGACAGTTTCTGAATTCTCAAGCATAGTTGTCAGTGACTACCAGGTACCCCCTGATAGAATCTTATCTATTAACTCTTTTGACATTAACTTGATTAATATTTATTGAGGAGAAATATGTACTAAGCACTGTCTCAAAACTTTACACCTCTGTTAAGTTATTTGATTTTCTTTACAACCCTCTGTTGTAGAAACCAGTTTTTACAGATGAGTGCTATTTAATTAAGTAATTCTAATGAGTCTTGATACTAGTTGATGGAGTTGGGAATAAAGCAGTCTGGCTTTCCATCATATGCTGTTGTTATTTACTGAGACAGTGCTTTGGGATGATTGATTACTAATTTTATTTGCTGTACTCTTAAAGTTGTTGGGCATCTATTTTTAAAAATGGCAGTTTCTATCATTTACACTTCAGTTTTGAGAATTACTGCTTATTAAGGATTTATTCTTGTTTGACTGTTTGCATTAAATGACGGTAGAACTAGAGTTGGTAAACTTTCTGCAAAGTTCCAAATAATTCATTATGCTTTGGTGGTAAGGAGGTGAAATTGAGACTATTATGTAGGCATTTAATAATAAGATAAAATGATCAGCAGGATTAAAAATATAATTGAGGTCCTTCTTGGTGGCGTAGGGCTTAAGTCAGCTTTATTACCACTACAGCTTGAGTTTGAGTTCGATCCCTGACCAGGGAGCTAACGCACATGATGGCGCAGCAGACCTCTCTTGTCTTGCCCACTGCTCCCCTTAGCAGTATATTTCAGTAAATCTGCCACTTCTGCTCTTCACTCCCTGCATTGCTGGCCTACACCCCAGTTCTTTTGTGCAAAAGTGTATATATATATATATTTATTTAAAAATTGAATATAATTTTTGTAATATAGGTATGTCAGTAAGAAAAATAGAATTTGGGAGACAGCATTTCACTTAATTGGGATTCAAGATTAGCTTTACCCATGAAAATTGATGGCAAATGTTAATCTGTTAATGCTGAAATCTGTAGTGAAATTTTACATGTCATTTTGGAAAATTTCTTTCACACAGATAGGTACTGCCAAATATTAATCTTCGTCCATGAGCATATGATTTTAATTGAGCATATCCATCATTTGAAAGGCTTTTAAAAGTTCTGTTAGATTCTTGATATTTTGCCTCTTAGCATGACACTTCAAATCAATCATTTCCAGTTGAAAATTAGATGCAAGCCTTTCAGTTGCATAGTTAGATGTGTTTTGAAATGGAGATTTCCTTTGCACTCAGAAAATTTGTTTGAGCTCAGAAAATTTGTCCACTTCAAATTTGTGTGGAAATGGAGTCATACTGCTTTTTTTTAACTTTTGAAAGTATCCTGAAGCAAATAAAGTAACTTGACATTACTTGTTCAGATAACATTTGTTGTTCAGATTAATTTGCGGCAGTGTTTGTTTCCCACAAAGTGTTATTTTACCTTGTAATTTTTTTTTTTTTTTTGTTTGTTGTTTTGTACAGCACTGGGTACAGTCAGAAGCGTGAGAGGGTGAGAGAATTCACCAGAGCCAGAGCGGGAGAGCAGAGCAGGCAGAAGGACCTAAGTACACTGCTGAGGGGAGCAGTGGGCGGCAGGAGAGGTCTGCGTGCCATGTGGGACCCTTCTCCGGTGGCCACGGAGCAGCCGGGGATCGAACCGGCGCTGCAGAGTCTGCGGGCAGCTTCGCAACCCAGCGCTCAACCGCTGCGCCACTGGGGAGGCCCTTACCTTGTTAATTTTTAAGATTTATTTATTTATGCATACAAGAGCTGGGTACAGGCCAGAGATGTGGGGGGTGAGAGGATTCACCAGAGACAGAGTGGGGAACAGAACAGGCAGATCGACTGAAATACGCTGCTTAGGGGAGCCTTGGGTGAGTCAGGAGAGGTCTGCTGCGCCATGTGGCTTGCTCCTTGGCCAGTGATGGAACTCTGGCTCCAGTGGCTGCGGATAGCTTCATTGGTTGTGCCTTAACCCCTTGTGCCAGCAGGGAGGCCCACCATGTAATTTTTGATTGACTTTTCTGAAGAACATTATCAAGTCTCAAGTAAAATCTAAATTTCCGAAACCATTTATTATTCAAAAATAAGGTGTTTCTTCTTAGCCCTAACTTTAAAAAAATCACAATGAAATATTGCTTCTATAAGCTGCTGAACTGCTCTTTGGTAGGGTAAGTTGGACAAAATTTCATGGAACTGATGATAAGTAAGTCTACAGGAGTAAATCAGAGTGAACGAAGGCCAGTGTATTGATGGTATTTTGGCATGTGATAGATTAAACTTTTTTTCTGCAGTACATCTGCTGATGAATAGTACAGAGAATAACCATATTCTTTAAATACCTTCCATTTTCATGCCAGAGATTGTGGCGGGGGGCGTTAAGAGGATTCACCAGAGACAGTGGGGGCCAGAAAGGGCAGATTTACTGAAATATACACTGCTGAGGGGAGCAGTGGGAGAAACAGGATAGCTCCCTGGCTGGGTCTTAGTTCTTTGATGGGTGGGAAGATGAAGAGTTGCTTTACTTGAAATGTATCTGTTAAATTTAGTTCAGCATATACTTCAGTTAATTTTTGTTCCTTTTCAAGTATCTAAATCTTCTGAATTCTCTGAATTAGGAAGTTATGTGAGTTAGTCTTGCATAATGCAAACTGTAACACCTGAAATATTACCAGTGAAAGTATCATAAGAGGAAGGAAGATTTTAGCTTTCCAAACTACAGTCTTACTGTGGGAACTTGGATGGTTGAAAATGTGAGAGTGAAGTTTATGATTTCCAGGCATCTGTATTTCAAGGTGTAATCTGCAAGGGTTAGCAAGTTATTTATCACTGCTTATTTCCTTTCGTTCCAGAATTGTATGCTGACTTTGTACATCAGAGAAGCCACTGGCACTGTCAGTATTCTGAGGGAGTGTCTGCTTGGGATCTGGTGCAAGTTGAATCATTGTTCAAATAAGGTAAATGAATGGTAGAAAAAGGACTCAATAACTTCACTGACTTAAGAAAACAATCTTATGTTAATAACTCTTTGTCCAGAAGATTACTTTATAGAAGTTCTGCCTTCTGGTTAAACAGTGTTTGTTCTTCAGTTTAGCACACTAAAACAAGCTGATAAAGTAGCTTTGCTGTCTGATTCCTTACCAATTATTGTATAATCAACAGTTACTTTTTTACTTTGAGTTCTTTAATAATACACATTTATTCATTTGAAAATATTGAAAAAGATCATCCATTAAACTTGACATCCATTAGTCATCATTAATATTTTGGTGAACACTCTTCATATACATGGTACTTGGAAATGTGTGAGTTTAGTTAAAATTGGGGCTTATACTTTTCTGTCACCTAGTTCTTGTTAATAAGAATAAGTTTTTTTCTGTTCGCATTTTGGCTTTTCATCATGGATGTGACATTTATCTAACTAGTCCTTTTGGTAGACATTTAGGCTCTCATTTTCTACTGTCATAGGAAAAAAATGTTTTTCTGCTGTATTTGTGATGGACACAAATACATTCCTCTTCCCATTTGATTTTCCCCCTTGGTGCATTTTCTTTTTTTAACTTTAAAAAATACTTTATGTATCTATTTATACATTAAAACTTTTAAAAACATGTACAAAATCCTTTACATGTGAGAGTATCGGCTCCTTAGGGCTTTGCATGAAAAGCAGCAGTCCCTCTGTACTACTTCCCAGTCTCTAGAAGCAGTGACTGCCAATTCTTTTGGTATTACCTAAATAAGTTTATTTTGCTGTTTATTGATTTTCCGGATTTTGGTGTTATATATTAACTTTCTACCTTGGATAGTGGTGGTTTTGGTAGACTTACTTCCCACCACCTCACACGCACACATTTATTGTCGCATTGGTTATAACATAATTTTGATTAGAGCAATAATCACAGTTGGCAATATTATGGTTATGTACAGTTTAATTATAGCCATAGTTCATTTTCCCTTTTGCACAACTTTTTTTCTGTTAATAATTTTTTTTTTTTTTGATGCTTAACTTTGTGTCTATGGTTTTGTCATTAGTTCCTCTCTACAACTTCTAAGAATTGTAAGTCTTCTTTAGTATTTTAAGCATTTTAGCGATATCATAAATTTTATCTTTTTGGTGATACATTGTGAACATGTTCTCTAGGCAGTGGTGCAGTTGTCATACTTGGCTATCCAACGTCATCATCTTGATGATTTTTTCTACTTCTCTTCTACTGAATCCTGTATCATTTTTTTTTTTTTTATTTAATCCCTTGTTTTAAAAGGAGCACTTTTTTCCCACTAGCTTGCTGAGAAAGGAGTACACAGAGAGGTAAATTTATTTTATTGAAGTAACATTGACAACATCGTATATGTTTTAGAAAGAGGTAAGTTTTTTAGCCAATGCGTGGCTAAAAATGCCTTTATTTTAATTGTTAGTTTGGCTGGTTTTAGAATTCTAGTTTGGAAGTTATTTTCCTTCAGAGTTTTGAAAATCTGCTATTTGGCTTTCATTGTTGGTGAGGTGTCAGTTAACGTTGCATAGAAACCTGCATGTAACCTCTGAAACGTCAAAACATCTTTTTCCCAGTGTTCTGAAATTTCACAATGATCTTTTTGCTTAGTTGTTTTTATCCAGTATTTGACCACTTGGGGAACTAAAACTCGGTTCTGGGAAATTTTCAGGGATTATGTCACTGATTTTTCTGCCATCTGTTTTCTTTTTCCTTTGGGAACTATTTGGATGTGGTTTCTTTTTTTAAAAAAGATTGTATTTATACATACAAGAACTGGGGTGTAGGTCAGAGGTGCGGGCCATGAGTGGATTCACCAGAGATAGTGAGGAGCAGAACAGGCGGATCTACTGAAATACACTTTATTTATTGTCTTTTTTTTTTTTTTTTTTTAAAGTTTTTTATTTATTTGTTTGTTTGTTTATACATGCACTGGGTACAGTCAGAAGCGCGGGAGGGTGAGAGAATTCACCAGAGCCAGAGCGGGGAGCAGAGCAGGCAGAAGGACCGAAGTACACTGCTGAGGGGAGCAGCGGGCGGCAGGAGAGGTCTGCGCGCCATGTGGACCCTCCTCCGGTGCTGGGGAGCAGCCGGGGATCGAACCGGCGCTGCAGAGGCCGCGGGCAGCTTTGCAACCCAGCGCTCAACCGCTGCGCCACCGGGGAGGCCCGTCTTTTTTTTTTTTAAAGATTTATTTATGCATACAAGAACTGCGGTACAGGCCAGAGGTATGTGTGGGGGTGTGTATGTGAGAGGATTCACCAGAGACAGAGTGGGGAACAGAACAGGCAGATGAACTGAAATGCTGAGGGGAGCAGTGGGCGAGTCAGGAGAGGTCTGCTGCTCCATGTGGATATCTCCCTGGCCGGGGATGGAACTTGTGCTGCAGTAGCTGCAGATAGCTTCATAGGTTGCGTCTGAACCCCTTGCGCCACCAGGGAGGCCCTGACATATACTTTTGAGGGAAGCAGTGGGTGAGACAGGAGACATCCATTGCACCATGTGGATTAACTCCCTGGCCAGGATCAAACTCATGCGTCAGTAGTTGGCAGTAGGTTGATAATGCTGAGACTTTAATCCCTGTGTCACTAGGGAGGCCCTCTTTTGGACTGAACTTATAATTTTATTTTGTCCATTATTTCCATTATAATGTTTTGTCCTACCTCCTGGGAAATTTTGTTGGCTGTTTTTCAATTGTTGTATTTTAAAATTTGTGTTCATGTACAGACACACATATATACATACCCTTTTTTTTTCCATTTCAGCAAGATTTTTGTTAATTAGTTCTTTATACAACTAAAGAACCTCAGTACCTACAAGAGTATAGTTACACCCTTTGTACATTTGTAGAAATGTGTGCCTTCTGTAGCTGCCAGAAATTGGTAATAGTTGGTTCTTTAAGTGTTCCCATGTGAGTTAATAGATTACAGTTGCAATAAGTTAGAAACTGCTTCCTCACATCTCCCATGAAGACTTTTCACTTTGTTGACATCATGAGTGATTTATTTTTCAGATTTTGTGGTAAGAACACTTAAGATGAGATCTTCCCTCTGACATGTTGAGTATAAAAAACATCATTATTAACTATGGGTGTTGTATTCTACAACAGGTCTCTAAAGCTGATTCATCTTACTTAACTGAAACTTCATCCCAGTTGGTGGTAATTCCCCATATTCTCTCCCCTACACTGTGTCTACCAGCCTTTTACTCTGAGTCTGAGCCTTTTTCTTTAAGATACATTATATAAGTGGAATCCTGGATTATTTGTCTTTCTGTGACTGACTTCACTTAGAAATGTTTTCAAGGTTCTTCATGTTATTACTTATTGCAGAATTTTTTAAAGATTGAATAGTATTCCACTGTATGTACAGTCTTAATAAACTTAACAAGTTGTCCCCAGGCCATCTGTACAACAGTGATCTCAGTAGGCTCTATCTTCCTGGCTGGGGATTGAACTCAGCCTGTAGTGATGATAGTGCTGAGACTTATCCACAGGGAGACTTTGTCCCAACTATTGATTTATCTTTTTAGTGACTTAAAAAATCACCATTATAAGGGTGTATTATAGGCTACTATGTCTAGACTGTATTTGGTCCATTTATCTGTCTCTTCTAGTACTAATACTCAGTGTTTTTATTGTTATAGCCTTATATCTTTAAATAATGATGCAAGTCTTCTCCAGCCTCAAAATAAAATTTTTCCTATACTTTTAGCCATACGGAAATAAATCTTTAAGAGATTTAAGTATTGGCAACTAAAAATGAAAGACTCAGTGGTCATGTATATATGAAACTAGTTGCTTATTTTTTCTTCTTTAATACGTATATTGGATTTTGACCTGTAGGATCCTTATCTTTGCCTCTAAGACTGCTTTTGATTTTTTCACATTCAGTTGTCAGTAGACATTTCAGTGCTTACTGTGCTTGTTCCCAGTGCTGGGGATAGAGACAAAATAGGATCCCTGTTCTTGGGGAGCTTACCTTCTAGTTTGGGGAGAAAGTTGCGATATTTTTAGATTTTTGTAAGTGCTAGGCTAGAAATAGGACTACAAGATAGCTTGGGAGTGAGGGAAGAGATAGGTTTTATCAGATTGGATGCTAACGGAAGACCTTTGCAGTCAGCAGTGAGCTGAGATCTGAAGGGTGAGAAAAGAGCTGGCCGTGCTTGAGACTGGAAGAGTTCATGTAGAGACAATGGCAAGTGCAAAGGTGCTGAAGCTGTAGTACCTGACTTATTATTCAAGGAATAGAAAGAAGGCAGCTGTGACTCAGGTAGAGTAACTGAATGGGAGAATGATTTGAGATGATGATGGAAAGTAGGCAAGGATCAAACCATTTAGAATTTTGAAACTATGGAAAGTAGGAGCTTCAGATAGAAATTGGATGAATTCAGTTTTGTTCCCTTTAAAAAGCAGATAGATGATGTTCTAGGAAAAAATAAGACCTATTTCTATATGTAGTTTATGTGCTGTTCCTGAATGAAATCCCCAAGGGGGAAGCTGCATAACCACATGAAAGTAAACTGAGTTCTGGTTGAGTAACTATATCTGGGGTTGGGATAGTTAACTTGTTTCTAAATTTAGATAGCTTTGAATGGTGCCTTAATTTTACATGGAAACAACAAGTTGGAGTCTTGATTTCTTCTGTAGACCCAGGTGTTCAATAAAATCTGAAATGATAGCAGATCTTAGTCTATTTTGGTTTCTTGTGTGGAAGTATGTGTGTGTGTAAGACACCCCCCCCCGCCCGCCCATTTACCGGTAAGTGTACATGTAAGTGAAAAGCTATCGGGCTCAACAGGAACAGGAAGGTCTTTGTGCATTGTAGAAACTGCTAAAGTAAATAATGAATTTAAAAGTGACTACTGTTGGATCTGGTTGAGAATTTGAGCATTTGAAAAGACATTAATTGTCCTGTACTACTGTGCTGTCCAAGAGAAGTCTAATGTGAGCCACATGTAATCTTGAA